AAAGAATGCTGCTCTTTTAAATCTGATGACCCTCGCAAAGATGTAAGAGTCCATTCTGAAATACGTATTGTAAGCCTGATGCGACTGAGATGAGAGGAAGCGTTACACTACAAACCTTACTGTCTACTAACGTAAGTACACACTTACAAATGCATGCTTGCAAGTCCACACTTACAAACGCATGCTTCACGCATGGACACTCTCATACCAGGAACGTGACATCACGTTGAAACGAACGTGACAAAGTGTCACGTTCGTTCGAGCATTGTGTCACGTTCGTTTGAATGTGAAAGAGCTCATTTTCGGCCAATTCACTCCCAAACGAATGTGACACAATGCTCAAACGAACGTGACAGATTGTCACGTTCGTTTCTACGTGATGTCACGTTCCTGGAATGAGAGTGGAGTTATACGGCGGCAAGGATGCGTTTGTTGGTGTGTACTTGCAGGCATGCATCTGTAAGTATGTATTTGGCCAAGCATGCGTTTGTAAATGTGTACTTGGAAGCACGCATTTTTAAGTGTGTACTTAGTAGACAGTAAGGTTTGCACTGTAGTCATTATTATTTGATTGGAACAGTGTTCACAAGTTGCAAACCACTCAGTGACCTCATGAGTGGTTGGTTGATTGGGATGGTCTGTGGAATCACGCCTGTTCGCCAGAAAGGTCAATGGACTTACGCCTGATTGTCAGAATGCTCTATGGACTTACGCCTGTTTGTCAGAATGTTCTATGGACTTACGCCTGTTTGTCTGAATGACCCATGGACTTCCGCCTGTTTGTCAGAATTGCCTATGGACTTACGCCTGTTTGTCAGAATGGCCTATGGACTTAAGCCTGTTTGTCAGAATGGCCTATGGACTTACGCCTCTTTGTCAGAATGGCCAATGGACTTACGTCTCTTTGTCAAAAACCCACCTGGACTTACGCCTCTTTGTCAAAAAACCACCTGGACTTACGCCTCTTTGTCAAAAAACCACATGGACTTACGCCTCTTTGTCAGAAAACGGGTGGACTTACGCCCCTTTGTCAAAAATGGAATGGACTTACGCCCTTTGGACACCTTCTGTATCTTCTGAACTAATTGAGATATTTTCATTTTTCAAAAACCAGTAGGCTTGTTATTTAATTTTAAATTATTTTCTGGAAAAAAGTGGATTTTGCCAATTTGTGGACTTACGCCCCTTTGTCAAAAAACCAGTGCATTGCCACTCCGGTTATGCTTCGTTCAAGCTTCGTTTATGCTCCGATGGTCTCGAAGCCTTATGCTTCGTTCAAGCTTCGTTTATGCTCCGATGGTCTCGAAGCCTTATCCTTCGTTTAAGCTCCGCCGAAACAAGCGTTTACTTTCGTCCTTCGTTTATGCTTCGTTTTACCTCCCCGTTCATCCTTCGTTTACGCTCCGTTTTCATCAGGGACGCCAAAATTTAGCCATGTGTCCGACCATAACGTTTTCAGTGTTCACAGTGGCAATTTGAAAAACACACGATTTTTCGCCTCGTTGGATGGGCGCCATTTTCACGACTTTTTGAAGGGCCTTCCTTTGAAGCCTGATAGGAGCCGTTACAGTCGTCGCTCGGACATGCACGCAATTTAGTAAGGTAAAGGAAGGTTGGAGGAAGGTCTACCGCGAAATTCAAATCGATTTAATCTCCGTCGGGTCTGCGGTGACCCGTCGAAAAAAATGACCCACAATTGATTCGTGACCCACAATTGATTTTTGGCCCGCCCTTCTATTCAAAAAATAGGGGGAGGGCCTATGCATTTGCCTTTGTGTCTGTGTGTTGTTGTTGTTGTTGTTGTTGTTGTTGTTGTTGTTGGCGTCTGTGTACAAGGAAGGAGTTGAGCTAGAGTAACCAGATTTGGAGGGTACTTCAGGAGTACCGTCCAAACAAATAATCCGGTGGTGCAAATCCCGTCCGGGTCGCACAAGGGCTGCTGCAGGTGCATCATGGTTTACATGAGCGGGAGGGGGATTTCCGCCATTATTGGTGCTAGCAGGGCACATAGGGGTATTTTTGGAATCGGGGCGACGAGACAAGATGAATGGACCTGGTCCCGACCCCATCGGCCGCTTTAACAAGTTCGCCAGATCAGGATCTTCAAAAAAGGGGGTCGACCGACTAAAAAAATTTATTGCAGATTTCGATTGGTCCCAGCAAGACCTTTTCAACGAGGGGTCGGAAAGGGGGTCCAGGAGCCCGACTTCGTCTATAAGTCACATCAGGATCTTGAAAAAAGGGGGTCGACCGACTGAAAATTTTTACTTAAGTTTTGGATAGGTCTTGGCAAGACCTCTTCAACGAGGGGTCGGAAGGGGGGTCCAGGAGCCCGCCTTCATGAGTTATGGGAAAAAGTGCGACGGACTCGTTTTGCGCTCCTGCTGTGCCTCTATTGCAAGGAGTTGCAGTAGCATGGCAAATACGGGTATTTTCGGAATGAGGGCGAAGAGACAAATGAAATGGGCATATTCTTAGGACAGTTGGAGTAAAAAGTGTAAGGACTATTGCATATTGTGAATAGAAGGGCGGGCCTAAGTCACGATGGTACATCGATAACTTTGCTTTACCCGCTCACGGTGTGTGTGATGCGAGCGGGCCGAAGGCCCGGGCCTTCGACTGGCCAAGTTGGGCCTGATGCGAGGGCCGAAGGCCCGAGAAAAGGCCGCCGGCAGGCCAAGCTGGGCCGGCCCCCTGTCGAAGCGAGTTGCCGGCGCAGCGAAGCGGAGCTGGCAACTCGGTTCGACGGAAGGGCGGGCCCTAGCTTGTTTACCCTACATGCAGGCTGGATGTTTTGTTTATGTACAATTTTGTCAGTGATGTTGCATGGTTTTAAATCAACGTATATAACGTTTTGCATAAAATAGTGCTCAAATTAGCATTTTTTTTTTCATTTTTACCTAGAATACTATGCAAATGCAACATACTCTACAAATCCCAAAGGGTACATTGTATGCTCTACCTGGAGCATCCCTGCAAGCACGCTCTAGCTAGCGTATGCCTGCCAAGTATGCACTTTGCTAGTGCATACATGCCGAGTACACGCTTATTGAAGCATGCATCTAGTGCATAAGGGATAGGGAGTTGTCTGCATCAGGAAGCGTGTACGTGGCATGCATGCACTACTAACACTGGTAGCCAAGGAGTGTGACGTCACGTTCGTTTTCACGTGAAAACAGAGATGTCAGTTTGAGCGTGACAAACGGTGAAAATTTACAGTCAAACGAATGTGACATACCGCACCGCTTTGTCACATTACTTCGGGTGTGACACGCAATCAACTGTCACATTAAAACGAATGTGACACATGGTACCCAAGTACACATGTAGTGTCACATCCAAACGAATGTGACATCCATGTACTGTCACATTCGTTTAACGTGACATGCCCACTTTGTCACGTTCGTTTGAATGTGACACGCCATGATTGTCAAGATAAGGGGTGTCACGTTCGTTTGAATGTGACACGCCATGATTGTCAAGATAAGGGGTGTCACGTTCGTTTGAATGTGGCACGCCATGATTGTCAAGATAAGGGGTGTCACGTTCGTTTTAATGTGACAAAGTGGGCATGTCACATTCAAACGAACGTGACAGTACATGGGTGTCACATTCGTTTAGATGAGACACGACATGTGTTCTTGGGTACCATGTGTCACATTCAATTTAATGTGACAGTTCGACAGCTGATTGCGCGTCACACCCGAAGTACCCTTGCAAAATGGAAAATATATGGGCACTATATGGATAAAATATATGGCCCAACATGTATTGACGTCATATGTGGAAAAGATAATTTAGCAAGATACTTTTCCGATATAAAAAATATGTGGCAAATATATAAATTTCATACATTGCTCTATATGTAGGCAATATATAGTGTGAATTCACCATGGAGTCCGACGACTCAGAGACTTCCTTTACTATTATAAAAGAATGTAAACTTCTCCTTGCGAGGACATCCAATTTTGATCCCACCGTGGTCGCCTAGAAGAACTTTTCGCGCTACGCCCAAAAAAGACGTTTAAAATTTCCGAACTGTTCCAGTTCACTTGTTAAACAGGATTTCTCAAAATTTCTTGGAGACTTAAACGCATAGAAAAGAACCTTTGCCCTGCTCAATATATGGCGTCAATATATTTTAAAATATAAAATCATGAGTCTGATTGAGTCATCAAAAGTCTGCCCTCCTCACCCTGCCCCATCCCACGACGGGCACCGTATCAGATATTGAAACATACATTTCGCGAAGATAATATTATATGGGGGAATATATGCACTATATATTAACGGGCATCAAGATATACCCCCATATATAAACCACGTATTGCGCAAGATAATTTGCAATATATTGAGCAAGATACAATTATATTGACAATGCATGAAACATATATGGAGTCATATATTGACACATATTTTCCATATATATTCCTTTTTGCAAGGGTAATGTGAGAAAGTGGTGCGTCATGTCACATTCGTTTGACTGTTAATTTTCACCGTTTGTCACGCTCAAACTAACATCGCCGTTTTCACGTGAAAACAAACGTGACGTCACATTCCTTGGCTACCAGTGAAGTGCATGCTTGGCAGGAATGCGCCAGCTAGAGCGTGCTTGCAGGCATTCTCCAGGTTGAGCGTACAATGTACACTTTTGGATCTGTGGAGTGTGCACAAAATTAGGCAAGTTACACGTTCAAAATTCTATATAGACATTTATTGTGAGCTCATCCTCCTGCAGGCAAGAAAGCACCATAGAGATTTAGGGTATAAGAGTAGAAGGGGGTGCATTAGCACACATCAATGCAGTAGTACCATTAAGTTCGTGGCCTACCTTTTTCAAAATATTCATTTTTGCTGAATATTGGTTTTTAAGAGTTGTCTACCAGACCATTTGCAAAAGGCCCACAAAATGCTCGTCAAAAGCGGAGACGTAACTGGCAAAAAAGAGGATTGAACTCTCCTGGTGTACTCAACATAAATTCATTTTGTTCCGTTTCTAGAATTGAAGCAGTGCCAGTGCTCTTTTGGCCAACGATGGAGGCCGCCACCCATGCGACGGATGAGGTACGTACTTTCCAACTCGGGCTGCCTAGTCCCTCAACGCGGTAGAATAACAATCGCTTTGCTATTCCAGATCGGCTCTGGATCTTCACACGCAACGGCTGTCAGTCAAGAAGAATTATCGAATGCATCTGACCGATGCAGGGCCAAGTCAAAAGGCAAGCTGGAGTGCAAAATTTGCAAGAACAAGTATGCGACTCGCATTACTCTCAGGATTCATATGCGTACCCATTCCGAGAAGCCGTTCGCGTGCACAGTCTGCAGCAAAACGTTCAGTCTAAGGGCTAACCTCAGATATCATCTCGAAACCCATTTCGATTTAGCCGAGACGCCCTTCGAGTGTACAGTATGCAACAAAAAGTTTAGAACATCAAGCTGTCTAAAATCACATACAAATTCTCACACGAAACCTTTTGAGTGCGCACTATGCAGTAAGAAGTTCAGCAGCAAAAGTCATCTCACCAAGCATCTTTGGGTCCATGGAGGGGTGAAGCTCTTCGAGTGCGCAGTTTGTCATAAAGCATTTCGGACCAGTGGTGATGTCACAATTCATCTTCGATCCCACACAGGGGAGAAGCCTTACGAGTGTACGGTTTGCAGCAAGAAGTTTAGTCAGAGCACACATCTGAATACTCATCTTAAAATCCACGCGGGCCAATCCAAACGGGAGTGCAATGTTTGCAAAAAGATGTTTCAACATCGATATCTTAAGAATCACCTTCGGACCCATACAGGAGAAAAGTCGCCCGAGTTCGAGTGCACTTTTTGCAGCAAGAAATTAGGTTCTGCACAGGCTCTGAAGATACATAATCGAATCCACACTGGGGAGAAGCCCTATGTGTGTTCAGTTTGCGACCAAACATTCAGACATTTAGACCCATTCAGGAGTCATCTTCGCAAGCATTCTGATGCCGAGGAGGTAGAGAAAACTTGGGACTGCACAGTTTGTGATAAGAAATTTAAAACAGGAGCAACCCTTAAAGTTCATCTCTTGACCCATCAAGAGCGAGAGAAGACTTTCGAGTGTGCAGTCTGCGGGAAAATGTTTCATAGCAGCGGAAACCTGAGAGCTCATTCCAGGACCCATTCAGAGGTCAAACCCTTCGAGTGTAACGTTTGCAATAAGGGCTTCAGAGATAAAAGAGATCTCACAATTCACCTCGTAACCCATACCACCGAGAAGCCTTTCGAGTGCTCAGTCTGCGCCAAAAAGTTTAGTAGGGCACCTTTGCTCAGATTGCATGTGGTGCAGTGCCATACGGAGAAGAGACCGTATGATTGTTCAGTCTGCAAGAAAACGTTTAAGAGATCAGAGCACCTAAAAATTCATTCCTGGACCCATACAGGAAAGAAGCCTTTTGAATGCAAACTTTGTAATAAGCTCTTCAAGACGAGCACGGAGGTCAAGTCTCATCATATTCGGATCCATTCAGAAGAGAGGCCCTTCTTGTGCACTGTTTGCAAGAGGAGGTTTAGTGCGTCCTTTGAACTCAGAAAACATCTTGGAGTCCATCTTCGAAAATATACAGGGCAGAAGTTTGAGTGCACCGTTTGCAACAAGAAATACAGTTCGGAGAAATATCTCAAGATTCATCTTCAAACTCATACTGGGGAAAAGCCTTTGTAAATATGCTCATTTCATTTTGGTCGATTAGGTTTATAGAGATAAAGAATGATTGACTTTATTAGCGGTCAGTTATCTCAGCAGTGGCTCATTTTACCCTGACTTTGTCCTGTTAAGATATATATGTGTCAGAATGATTAATATTACAATAAATACAAGAAACAGTTCAAAAAGTGGGTTGTGAAGATGGGAGTTCCATTTCATAGATGAGTTCTGGTAACTGTAAATGTGTCTTCACAGAATTTCTTTCCTTCTAATTCTGTATTTCATGTTCTTTTTGTTAAACATTTACGTGACAATATCTTTTTGAATATAATTTGAATGTGAGGCGCCTTAAGTTAAATGAGATTTATATTCTGACGATTGCCGAAGGTTATTTTTTATCTGTTAAAAACTGTATAGCAAAATATCTGGCCAATAAAATTAAAACTAACACTAACTGTCAATTTTCTTTATTTGGATAAGAAAAAGAAAATTAACTGATAGATATTGTTACGGGCGATTTTATAATGTTCAGTGACGGCAGGATCGATATTTACATTTTGCGAAGCATTGTACAAGTTTACCAAGTGGTCCTAAAATATTTGAAGGCAACTTGTGTAGTGGTCTTGAACTACCTCTTTTGCCTTTCCCCGCCTCGTATACATAAACCCCAACCCAACACTCTCATTCCAGGAACGTGACATCACGTTGAAACGAACGTGACAAACTGTCACGTTCGTTTGAGCATTGTGTCACATTCGTTTGGGTGTGAATTGGCCGAAAATCGGCTTGTTCACATTCAAACGAACGTGACACAATGCTCAAACGGACGTGACACTTTGTCACGTTCGTTTCAACGTGATGTCACGTTCCTGGATTGGGAGGGGAAACCAACAGTTTTTCCGAGACGGCGTGACACATCGGGGGCAAGGAGGGAGGGGGTGGCTGTGAGGAGCGGGGACTGGCGCGGCGAGGACGACGAAAACGACGACGACCATGCAGTCCCCTCTGAGCGCTTTGAATGGATGGATAGAGGGGATGAGTGGGATTTGATGGAAAGGTAGAAGCGGTAGCAAGACCGCTTCAAAAATGCCTCATTTTAAGGTTCAATTGTTCTCAAAAAGACTTGCCGACTGTTGTGTATGGAATTTTTTAAGTGTCTTGACACATACAGTAATTACAGCATCTTCGGTAAAACCCTGTTTAGCTCCGGTTGGTATAGTGTCGTTTATTTCAAGTATTAAAAATCCCCAACGGGGTGCTTCGGCTCGCTCAGCTAGTAACATTAATGCACAGATGCAAATTTTCCGTAGTTTCTACCACAAAGCGACCACATCCACGCAGTTTCTTGGACGGTGTGTTCATGTAATGCATCATTCCGTCTATGCGGAATCGACCGTAGGGCACGACGGGGAAGAGACAAAGTCCGTCGAATCGCAATGAAATGTTGTTAAACTTGTACATCCCCTGAACCATACGCACCGCGCAACCACAACAGAAACATGCTAAGTTCACACATTTAATTGCGCCCGGCCATACTATCGTCAACCGAAGTCTCAAGTTACACTTCACAACGCGCCAACCAGGTTTGGGGCCCTCAAAAAAATTTGGGGTTGGCTTTAAAAAAAAATAATTACTCCACGTAAAAGGTTGAAATTTTCACTCATATTGTCTTATGTACAACGAAAATTCAGCTTTGCTACACTCTCAGCACGTTACTGACTTTTTGCTCATTTTGTCAGTACTTTACTTACGCAACCGGAATACGTATTTTTCCTTTTTAAAAGAACTACTTAGGAAATATTAAATAATGTACTTACAATTTGGTTTTGTACATAATTTTACATGGGAAATTAGTCACATAGAAAATACAAAGTATTATTGTTGCTTATACGAATACGTAATTAATAAGGAAAAAGTCAGTAACGTGCTGAGAGTGTACAGTGAATTCGGCGCAAGCGCAATGCGAAGCAATATTTCTTCATGATCTTTTAACAATTTTCATTGCAATACACAAGGAAAAACGTTTGTACTACGAAGAAGAACCGTCTTCGTTACGCTTGCGCCATTTACTTAATGTAATGGGAAATTTCTTCCTAAGACGTTTACAGTGCAGGCTGTTAATGGATAGTCATAATTTTACCTCTGGAATGGGACACTCTAATGGAAAGCCAGGTGCGTGTGCCTCGAGGAATTCCTTGTAGTAGGGCTTTAAATATGTTTTCAGGCCCTGGCACGCTTCCCCCACCTTGATGACTGCGAAATTCTTCCTCCACCCGGAAACAGGGTCCCACTTTGATATGTAGGTCGTGAGCTGTAAGAACATGTGAGAAATAAAGTGAGCTTCACGGCATTTTCCTTATTAGTGCGATGTCTTTCACTGGTAAAACTAAAGCGTAACTCTATGCTTGAGTCAAGCATAAAGTTACGCTTGAAGACGTTACGCTTGAAATGGAGCATACTCTGGAAATTCCCCCATGCATTTAGATAGGGGGAATCCTGGTGTAATAGCCTGTTACGCTTGATTTCAAGCGTAAACTAATTACGCTTGAAAACAGAGGGTAATACTACGCTTTAGTTTTACCAGTGTTTAACATACCAAAGTGTTACCCGGCGTAACGGGGTTGTTGAGTAGTGTTCCATTTCCTGTATACGCGGGACTTCTCGCACCTCGCTGATGGTGGATCCTGCCTTGCAGTTTCAAGTCGTCACCTGTTTCACCTATATCCCTCTAGGGCAAAGGCCTATTTCAAGGATATCAAAGACGTAAGGGCCCCGATATTCAAAAAAATTACTGGTCAGTCGACCTATTTTTAGTATGTTATGAGGCAAAAACGGTTCCCGGTTTTCCCAAGTATGTAGCTTACAGTAAAGACACGCGTTGAGTTCCTTGAAAAAACAGGACCCGATTTTGACGTGCATGAAGAACTTATTCGTAAACTAATCAGTATTTTCTTCGTAAGCTTCTGTAAACACTCATTCCAGGAACGTGACATCACGTTGAAATGAACGTGTCAAAATGTTACGTTCGTTTGGGCGTTGTGTCACATTCGTTTAGATGAGAATCGTCTAAAAAAATTTGCTTGTTCACATTCAGACGAACGTGATGTCACTGGAATGAGGGTGGAAGGACACTCCAAATCTAAAGGCGGTAATATTTCCACCCTTTCACTTCATTCCAGGAACGTGACATCACGTTGAAACGAACGTGACAAAGTGTCACGTTCGTTTGAGCAATGTGTCACGTTCGTTTGAATGTGAACGAGCTGATTTTCGGCCAATTCACACCCAAACGAATGTGACACAATGCTCAAACGAACGTGAGAGTTTGTCACGTTCGTGTCAACGTGATGTCACGTTCCTAGAATGAGAGTGTTACTGGCGATAATGTTGTATTGGCGGTGTCCACGTTTTACCGCCAATACGAAGGCGGTACAGAAGTTACCGCCCTAACAGAACCGTTTGTACATCCTTTCGAGAACTTTACCGCCTTTTTCTTGGCACTCTGAGGGAACGTTACTGGCGGTAATATTTTTTTTACGCACCATCTAAACGGCGCGCAATGGGCGGTAATACACTGTACCGCCGTTTTCCTTCGGTTTGTAGGGTGCGTAATTGGCGGGCTCCAGATTTTACCGCCAATACGAAAGCGGTACACGTTTTACCTCCTTCGCCGCACCGTGTGTACCGCCCATAGATTTGGAGTAGACACGTGAAAATTGTGCAAATGCATGTATACTGCGTACAATAAGGTGAACCATACCGCGTATTTACTGGAAACCAATACGAGTGAGACGAGAACGAGACCAATGCTGGTGGTGAGCCTCGCCATGGCCCTGAAGAGAAACCTAGTCGAACTGCGACTCGAAGCGGGCGACGTGCAGCCGCGCTACACTGTCGAACACTGTCATAAGACAAGATGACTTCATATAATCGCTCGAATTTGGTCTCGTTCGTTTAAACATGATGTCAAATTTCGCTTGAATTCTGATCATTTTGATTCACGGTCAAACAAACGAATGTGATATCCTAGTTGAACAATTCTAACGAACGTGACCCACGTGTCAAAATTCACGTACCAACACAGTAAATTCCTTTGTACAAAGTTTGTACGTCTTCTCTCACGATTTTGCGCGTAGTTGTTTGGCAGAGGGAAACAAGGGATCAGGAAGAGATGACCAGATATGAAAAATCAGAAATGCACAATTATAACTTTTAAAAGGATAATGGATAATCCGACCAACTGTGAATTTCCTCATCTCGCTTCGCTCGCCAACAATCCACATATGCCCGAGGGGGTAACCACTCGCGTAATACCCTGTACACAAAAACCGTGTATTACGCGTAATGCACGGGGTCGTAATACCTTTTTCGGGTCAAATGTGCCAAATTTTTGCATTTAAAGGCCGTAATACACGTGTAATACCTCAGTAATACAGCGTAATACCGAGTAGTCTGTACATGATTTCTTGAAGTGTTTACCCCCTCGCATATGCCCACCCTTTTAAAAGATACCATCGTTGTTATCGATTAAGAAAACATAAAAATCTGCAGAGACCCCTGACGGGTAGTCAACCCTAATGGCAGTGAGTCATTTGCCTTACCGTATGAGCCCTGGAAAGAAGAATAGAGCGCTAAAGTCAAGAATCGAAATATTGTTCGACGTGGCAATTGGTTAAGTCAGAAAATTGCGAAGTGCAATCGAGCGGCCACACTGTACGAAAAAAAAACACAGTGATTAATTTTTTTGCCGGCATTTACTCTAGTTCAGAACACATGATTTACTGTGTCTGGCTACAGTATACAGTATTTGCTGTACCTGGTACAGGATATTCCGTACTCCACTCCTGTGGCACAGTGAATCCCGTACAATGTACAGTAGATCCTGTAAAAATGAACAGTAAATCCTGTACTCTGAACTACAGTGACAGCTGTACTAATCACTACTGGATTTGCTGTGATTTTTTCCCACAGTGCATTTGACAGCCGCGCCGGCGTTCGACTGCTGACCTGAGCGTGTCTGTCAGTGTTGCAAGAGAGAGCCTCCGGTAGGGCACGTGCTGGCGGCAGGAAACATGACGTGCTTCGCCGTGGCAGGCAATTGTGCGGGCAGGCTGCATTGTCTAGTTTCAAGGAAAGTGGTGATCAGGGATGATAATCAAACCGAAACAATACCGTAGCCGTTGTGCGTCAGTTTTCACTTATGACTAAAACTTAAAAACTGTACCCGCAAGAACAGACACTGCAAATGCAACGGCGATACTAAAGTACATTTTTTGGCGATACAATTGAGTATCGCCAATAAACGGCCTTACGGAAAAGTATTGCCTTCAGAACGGCGATACAAAAAAGAGTCACCAAAATTTGGCAATACTTTTGGATATTGCCAAAACCACGGCATTTAACCAAGGTCTTCTCCCCTTGATTTGTTCGACGTTTATTGCCAAATCGTGGCAA